AGCCTTCGACAATACAGTTAGCAGTAAGTTGATCTAGGGTATTAACCCCATTTTCAGCCCATATTTCAAACCTCCCCCCGCAAAAAATAAAAACCTTTTACCTGTCTTTTAAAAATAATTATTCAAAAGAATCCATTTTTCATGTGAGGAAAACTCAAACTTGAATTTCTTACCTAGGAATATCCAGATATGTTTAGCTACATGTTCATATTCAGAATGTAACTAAATTCCTAATACAGTAAAAACCAAATACTTGCTAGAATTTCAAAGGTTACAGACAATAATTCTTTATCTGTTCTCACAGGTATATTTTCAATCTTATTTTCATTCCAACATAGAACAGAAATTAATATGCACATCCAAATATTCAACTGAATGTCTACAAAAGTAAACCCTTTACTTAAAGTACAAATGGGAGGCATAGTTTAGGGAGTATGATCATGGCATAGAAGTTTAATCATTAAATCATCAATTTGAAGTGGAATTAGCACAGGCATCCCTCTTAAAATATATACCAATCATGAAGAATATTGATTTTGACATTTATTCTTCATTTATGGTGCAACAGGAAACTTGTCAAACATGTCCTTAACTTCCTCTTATATTTAATTTGGCCTCGAAACCTCTGGCTTGTTTTATCATGCAAAATAGAGACACTCAAGGTACAAAGGTATCTGGAATGCAACAAGAGTTGTCATTTCATTTGGGACTCATTAGGAATTACCAAAGTTCTTTACCTAAGTTCATGGAGTCTGTCCAACAACATAGCAAATTTACTGGATACAAAATACATTGGAATAAATCTAACATATTGCCTATTAATAAGGTATCTATGAATTTTTGTTGTTGTTGAAAATATAAATATGTAAAAAAAAGAATCTGCTTATTGTCTGGAATCTTTTAAATATTTGGGAATAATAATTTAAAATAAAACACCAAGGTCAGTAGATACAAATATTTCAAATAGTTTAACATAGATGAACAGCACTATTATTTATTAGATAGCTGAAAATACGCATGGGTGTATGAGGTAAAATAAACAGGTCTTTCAAAATGGATATCTAAATTCAGCTGTGACCACTTGACCTAGTTTAAACTGTCAAAACATCATTTTGCATATAGAAGCTTTGTAACACAGAATCAGAAGAAAAATATGAGCTCTGTCACAAACCTAAGACATTTCTCAACATTGTAAACCCTCCCATTTTATGAACAACATTCTGCTCCAAGGCAATTGCTGTTTATACATCACATATATAAAAGTAAAAAAGTTAGAAGATAAACAAGTCTTTGAAGATTTACCTCTGAGGCTCTATCACCAAACTGAGCTAGAACTTTGGTCCTGTAATCAGGAATAATACTCAAAGGATTGTTGGATAACACAAGCTTTTCCAAGCATGGAAGGCCTCCTATATTCCTTATTTCATCAATCTAAAAAATATAGGCATCTATTTCAGGCATCTATAAACATGGTCAAATATTTTGATATTAAAACTGAAGGCTACATTATTTAATCTAATTTCTTTCTGCCATATTTTATTCTACATGTTGTTTTTCTTAATGTGATGGCTCTATGTATTAAACCCCTTCTGCAGTTAATAAACCAAAATTTAAGGTAGAAAAACATTGTAAGAAATTTGCCTGTTCCACTCCTCCCACATCCCTCCAAATACAAATGTATTACTGCTGGTATCTAAGTAAGCTAGAAGAAAGATTGAAAAGGAAACCAATTGCTCTATTGAGATTTTAAGCAAAGGCTTAATGAACTAAATAATAAGGGTGAGAACATTTCTTTTTTAAAAAGAGAAGCCAAAGTGGTAGCATTCTAAAGGAATAGAAACCAGATCAAAAATAGTGCAGTATAAGTTGATTCTAACGTATACATTTCAAACAGAATTCTAAGAATAATAACTGAAAGTGTAATTAATCCCTTAGTAGCTTGAAGCTTGCAATTCTAGACACAGTGAATATAGCATGACTGACTTCTGAGTACACAAGCACATAATTCTCCAAATACCTGGTCTACTTTGTTGTTACTAAGATCCAAGTTAACTAAAGAATAGAGTTTGTTGAGTCCAGAAAGTCTTTCCAAGTGATTCCCCGCTAAATTCAGCGTTTTGATATTTCCAATTTTGGTATGAATGCCTTCTAATGTTGAAAGTTTATTGTAGGAGAGGTCCAGGTGAATAAGATTGTAGAGATGCTACAAGTGAATAAACAGATTATGCAATATATTACACAGACGTGAATTATTAATTCAACAACAGTTGCATCTACTCAGAAGAAATGGATAAGCTCAGCTAATTGCTTAAAGATGTGGTATGCAAAATGCATCACAGGTTCAGGTGATAGTGATTCTGTCTTACAATGTCTCCCTTCTAGATACTGTCCCTGTGTTTTTGAGTAACCTATGAGTGGTTTATAAGCTGATATTGAAAGTGTATATTGTGAACTTTCACAATTGCAAAACCCTGATATTACAAGGTTCGAAGAATACTTGTTTTCCATCAATTATATAATAACCTGAAGAACTCTTCATTTCTATGTCTGAACAAGCATTTTACCAACAGGAATCCCAGGTGAATGTCTATTGAGACATCTAGGCTGCTGATACTAGACTGTATGTTTAATTTTCCTTTTGTTTCCCATTCTGACATAAAGTGACTTAAATGTTAACAATTTATTTATAATATTAAGACCTGAATACAGTATATATGTAAGACTTGTTTGTTTAGAGTGGGTTTTCTATTTTCCTCTCTGCTCATCTAATAAAATTAATTTAAACTCAACAAATCACATATTAATATCTGCCCCACACATTTTACTAACAAACTGAGGCTTTGCAAGATTGTGCTTTTTACATGGCACTTAAGCCCTTGAATATTTGTAATACAAAAAATGTTATCCTAGTAGTTCCTTAAATTGAACTGATATGAAATTTTGGTCCTGAATTCCAATAATTACTTTTAGATTGGGAGGGACACAATGAGGCCTGTGTGTTGCAGGTGACCCACCACCATCCCCAGATCACCCTGCCATAATTTGGCAGGTGGCATAATTTTAAACAGTTTTAGGAGAACTGTGAAAGTGGGTTGAGGGTGGGAGAAAAGAATACTTTGCTTCCCAGAGGCTTCTCACTCTTTTTCTATCCAAAGTCAGCCTAAAAATAGTTCTGCCTTTTGGTGACATTATATCATCGCAAGATGATTTCCTGCTGTCCAGAAGTTTGGAGGCTTAGTTGTGGCCTCAATCCCTTTAAACACTGGTTACCCCTATTTTAGATTGTATCCAATTTTGTCTTCCCCTGGCAGACCAGATATCACTGGAAAAGGAATTCTAACTCTAGTTCACAAAGTATTACTTGAATATGCTTCAAGGTTTTAAAGAATCCTCCAGAGCAGATTAATGGAACAGGGAGAGTAAAAACAGAGGAACTGAAAAAAAAATGGCTGGAGTCATTACATATCTCTTATATGAAGAATAAGTATATCTACAAAAACAGACTGCCAAATAAAATAAAAAAAACTCTGAGCTTTCTTTTATGTTTCATTTCCCTGAACTATGCACTGTATAGTCAAAAGTCTGCTGAGCAATCAGCAATATTCTTAAAATGAAGCTGAAGACTTCCCATATGGTGAACTAACAGACATAGGATAGGCTGTGCTTCAGAGTCAAATAACTTTTTCAGCTCTGGATCTCAAGTGCAGCATGCTCCTAAAGCAGAAGATAGGCAATCTGGCTCAAATTACCATCCAATATTGCTTAATATATTGCATGCAATAAAAATAAATGATAGTCTCAAAGAGCTGAAAGGGAAAAGAAAAAATTAAGAGAATGCAAGCTACTGACAAAGGTTATATTAAATGAAAGCAAGGAGCATCCATCTAGACTCAAAACAGAATTAACACACACACACACACGCACGCACACACCATTATTAACAAAGATTTTAAGCAAACCTGTAAATTCTCCACTAGTGATACATCATTGTGGCTTAGATCCAGAAATTCAATCTTCGGCATTAATTTCTAAAATAAAGGAATAGTAAGCCTTTAGTACAATCAGAAGAAACCAGTCTTGATCCAAAGCAATTTATCACTGATAATGTGAACCCTTAAGAATTTTAGAACTGTATTTTTCAAGCAATAGTTCAGAAGCCACAAGCAAAAGAAATTTCAAAGCATTTTGTACAAGAGCATAGTTGCCTGCAGTTAAAAGCTATCACCATTCCCTAATATTCAGTGGAATTATCAAGTTTTGTGCAAGCTACAGCAAGTATTAAAAGTACTGATTATATCACCATGAGTAAAAGAGATATCTTCTCTGCCCCTTTTGAAACTGTTTTGAAGCATTTTTTATGAACTCTTACCACAGAATTGTCAATTTGAGCTATGCTATTATGACTCATATCTAAAGTTGTTAATGTTCTCCAAGTTGGAATAACTGCTGTCACAGGATTTGAAGATGTGCCTTCTGGCTCCCAGTGGTCAAACTCATAGGCCTCAGGTACTAGGACCTCCTGTTCAAACCACACATTGGAAAATGAATATTTAATAGGTGGGGGGAGAAAATAGAGGTTTCTGATTAGTAAATCATTATTTGTTACAAACTGTAACTTCTAAACAATCTTAAAATCTGGATGAGAGATTAAGATTACAACCCTTTGCACACATATTCTTCTTAAACTCTGATTTTAAGTACATACATTCTTAGGATTTAGTGGTAAAATATTCTGAATAACACATACCCCTAGAATAGATTTACTGAACATTTTAAATATTAATATGAATAGAGATGAAAGAATATTATTTAAATGTATACAATACAACATCAATTATAAAAAAACTGAAATGCTGAAAAATATTTTTTATGATTTTTAAATACAGTTTTTTACAAATTATAATCATAATATAGCATACTACAAATGGTACACATTTCAGTCTTACCATCATGGATGTTGCTGAGAACTGTACACTTAGTGTTGCTAGAGTGTGCTTTGAAGATGTCAGCCCATTAATAAGTTTTGCACCACAGTGATTTATCTATTTTGAAAAAGCAACAGTAAGGAAAATGAAACAGCAATGAAAAAGCATGAAACTGTTTCATATGAAATCTTACTAATTGCACTCTAATGTCCCAGTTTTTTTTATAAAAAATTAATAAAGTCCTTGCAATATTTTATAAAAAATATCCTTCAGGGAAATACTGTAAATGCATTAAAAGTCAAGAAAGCCCATTACAGTTCCCAGCACTGATTCAGATAAAAGAAAATCAAATACTACTACTACTACTGAAACCAGCTTCTGGAGGAGTAATAAATACAGCAATCTGAATGCAGCCATACACTTCCACAAACAAAAGAATTCTTTCTCCTTATGAAAACACAAAAGCAACTTTTATGAAAAATGTTTTAGTGCTTGGAGGATCCCCAAAATCTCTGGAGTAGCTTCATGTAGGATTGCAAGAACAAAGAGAAATTGGCAAAATGGCCTACGCAGACTACAGTAAGCAGAATTCTACTCAGAGTTAGCATGGGTTGGATCTATACTACGCTATGCTGCCTCAGAAACAATGAGATGGATTCTGAAGTACAACCACAGAATATGCATACAAAGTCCTACATCTGGCATCTCTAGTTACAAGAATATCAGGAAGCTGAGATGAGAAACATCAAAGGTGTTGAGAAACAGGTCTTAGTCACAATAAGCTATGGTGGGCTAGGCACACCAAAGCTATGACAAGATTGAACAGCTTTCTCTAATTTATACATTATTTTTCTATTCAAAATGAACCCTCAAAACAATTTAGAGTTTAAGTCAAGCATAAAAATACAAAAAGTAAAAAAAAAATCCTAATTAAAGCATAATAATCAAACTACTGATGTTCAAAGGCCTGGCTAGGGAAGTACAGTATGTCTTTACAAAGACAATGGGTGCCAAATGCTAAGCAAGTCCCTTCTGTAGCATAGGGGTGATACAAGTTTAGGCTGTCCCTCATTCTGTACATACATGCCTCTGAAAGTAGGGACATCTTCAGAAGGGCCTCCCCTGAAGATTTTAATGACCGGTTTCATCAAGAAAAAAGCAGTGCTGCAAAACGTCAGTCTGCTTTGGTGGCAAACCCAGTGGAAATGCCTTCTATGCAGTCATGGACATGTTCCAATAATAGGAAATGAGGCTTGGAGTTGTGCTGAGCCTTTGAAAGAGGCAGCAACCTCAATGCTTCTGGCAGCAGGTTTTAGGAAGTGCCCCTCCAAATTACAGCTGTTGAAGCTCTACAAAGCTGTTTAAGGCTTTAAAGTTTAACACAAACTTCTTAAATTCTGCAAAGAAAACCACTGACTACCAGTTCACATTCCAGCATCTTGTATTATCTGGCAGTTAACCTGTTACATTTTGTCCCAACTGGAATTTATGGATACTTCTCAAACATACCCACGCTAGTGCACTGCAATACTCAAAACATAAAATGATATGTGAACAGCTGTTGTCAAACCTGAGAGTCACGGTTAGTTGTAATGGTGCAAATGTCCTCCTTGCCACAACTGTCAGCTGAAGATCAGGATACACCCCAAGGCTGTATACTTACTCTTTCAAGGAAAATACAACTCCATCCAGAATAGGCTAAACCTCAATCCCTGTGTCCAATCTCTTACTGATGGACAGCATGTCCATCTGCCTAGATTTAGCTTCTGCTAGACAACCTGTGACCCATTAGGTCATTGTTTCAGAGATATTTCCTTACCTAAGCAAAGAAACAGAATGACCAAGGGCAAAAAAGCAGTGGGATCGTGAGAGACCTACAACTTGCTGCGAGCTTCCTCATTGACTTTGCTTGTGGGAAGCTGGCAGGGAGCATCAGAAATCTTCCAATCTTCCTCCCTCCCCTACGCCCCTCCCTCCCTCATTTCCACATATAATATAGGCTTGTGCCATTTGCCTTCCCCTCACAACCCTCAGGAGAGCCCTGGTAAAGCCTCCTCCTCCTCTTACTTGGCTGACCTGCAGAACTGCCTGCCACTTTGCTGGGGGAGGTGGAACAAACAGAGCCGCAGACCATGAGGAAAACTGCACCCCCACTCCCCATTCCAGCATGTCCCCCAGGGCCCCCTCCCTCAAGGGAGGAAAAGGCAGGGCTCACCTGTTGACCGCTGGCACACCTCAGCCAGCCCTACCTCGTCAACAGGCATCCAAGTCGCTCTCTCCTCCTTCCTTCAACATTAACCACTGTTAAGACATTTCAAATTTCTGCCTCATTTCCAAATCACCGCTCACCCATTGAGCCTTGCCCATGACAATTGTGTGACCTGGGCTGACCGCGGCGGCACAGCAGCACAACAGTGCTGAAGCGGCCACAAATTTCCCAAATTTCAATCCCACAGGAGTAATGGGTCCTGGATTTTTGATGCATTCTGTAAGTTAGCCCATTTGAGGTACTTTCGTTCAAAAACTGTTGCCCTATGAAGCACCATTTCACCCAGTTGAAGGTTACAGACATGAGAGTTTTCGTAGTATATAGATTTAGTTTCCATTACTCAGCTCATCATTAAATTTAGACTGCTTGCTTGGTATTCAGTAGCAAGGAGAAGCAGAACTGGCTGTCATCAATATACTGATAATCTACTCCAAAATCAGAAGGGGTTTCCTCAGCAGTTTCATGTAATTATTTACCATCACAGGGGCAAGGTAGAATATTGTGGGACACCACAGCTCAGTGGCCTTTTAGGCTTTCAAGAACTGGCTTTTTTCCTAGTCCTTTGGGTTGTGATCTGCTGGATCCCCAATTGCATAATGGTGTCATTTCTCTTTGGATTGCCATTTTATTATTGTTTACTGATTTATGTACTCTGGTTTTGTATTCTTTTTGTTAGGTTCTGTTGAATTTTGTGTAAGTTACTCATAGTCACTTTGGCTTACTTGGGGAGCCCTACAATTTTTTTAAACAAATGTTCTTCATCATCACTTTCTGATTAGGCCCAAATAGAAGCATCAAAACCACTGCAACATTGCCTCCAAGGCCCAAGATACCAATCAGTCCAGAAGAATATAGAGGAAAGCACTTAGAGTAGATTATTAGAACAACTTCTAATAAATACTCAACAAACAAAGCTCTTTTTCAGAACTTACCTGAATCTGATGAAGAGATTTAAATATTGATAGGTCAAAAGGCAAAAGATGTTCCTGAATATTACTGCTTCCAACAGGTCCGCGTGTGCCAGTTATCTGGGAAAATATATGTATACTTATATGACTGATTTACAGAATGCATAAACAGAATGCACAGAAAGCGTTTTTATTTAGCAAACCAATATCTTGCCAAATTATACTCCAGAGTTTTATAAATATATACTGTAGAATTTTACTATTTATATACAGTAACTAAATCTAGTAAAATACTGAGTATGCCACACTGCTCAGTATCAAGACACTGCACATATAAGAAAAGAACAGAAGAACAGCCATCTTCTGCTTTCTTACAAAGCAATAACATAATGATAAGGACTTAAAATTCTTTTTTGGGATCTGATTTTGATATACTTTCCATTATATAAATCTGTTTTATTTTTATTTTTCATTTTATAGTTGTTTTTATTAGAAATTTCTTTTAAAAGAAATTTACTGAATTTCTGAAGCTTATAGATAACAATAAACAAATTCTATCAATTAAGAAGTCCTTATTTAACTATTTATCACTTTGGCAATTAAACAGAGATTCAAATACAGCTAACCCTGTGTGGTACAATTTTACATATGACATATGAGAGTTTTCAAGCAAACACCTGCTCATATGAGTATTAACACTTAAATAGGGAATATCTGGTTGAATTTTTAACTCCACTGAAGTATATGGGTGAATAATATCAACACTAAGTGCATATTAAAATACTACTGCATTTCTTATCATCTGATACAAGTAAAAACATTATGGGGCCTTATGCTATCAGAGAAAATAAGAGTAACTTTGGAAAAACAGGATATGAAAAAATACTGTGGTGAGATACTTAATTCTATAAATAATTAGAACTGATATTATTTATTCAGATGCAAGTAGAACCAAAGTACAAAAAAGGAACTTAGGATAATCATTAGCACAAGAATGTAGAAAGAAGATCTTACTAAGATATATTAATTTATTTAAAGTATTTTAATCCTATTGTTCTAATTAAAAAAAAATCTTCTCAAAGCGGCTTTTAATGATAATGTATTTTGCAAGACTCTACCTTAGAGGTAATAATTTCTATCTTCATGGAAAACTAAGACAAACATCTGTACCATCATATATTTCTTTGGTATTCTTGTTCTTTCCTCAATCCCAGTACTACTGGGAGCATAACTTACAATAAGATAAATACTAGTGTTTAAAATAAGAAATATCTGAATTGTTTATTTAGGCATGTAGATCATGGAAGGCCTTTGTTTTTGTTTGAAAGCCAGCATCTTAACAGAGCACCTCAACAGTGCTACTTTCTTCCAATTTCTTCCATCAAGATAGAAAGCACTTCCTATAAAGCATAGTCTTTATAAACCACACAAATGAGCAATTGAAATATTTACATTAGAACCTGTTACCTTTAAATATTTGAGTCTGCAGGTGAAATCCAGAATGTGACCAAGATCAGTTCTGGCATCACCATTTGCACATGTTGGCTTTCCCTGACGCAGCTGTTGGGTAACAGCATAAAGCTGCAAAGGTTTAATATTAAAGACCTCACCAGCCATAAGTAATTGTTCTCCTAAAAAACAAGATGTATATATTTACCAGTCATACCAAGAAAATAAGAGAAATGATATGATTTAAGCTTGCTCATGGCTGAAACTTTGAAACAAGGATACAGTCTGTTCTGTTTCGAAGAACATTCCATCTTGTGCGATGTGCAGATAGTACAGGTAGTCCTCGGCCTATGAACATTCATTCAGTGACCGTTCGAAGTTACAATGGTGCTGAACAAATGGTGGTTATGACAGGCCTTGGAGTTCCGGCTGTCCCTGCATCCCGGCGATCATGTGATTGTGATCTGGGCACTTGGCAACCAGTTCGCATTTATGACCAGCTGCAGCACCCCACAATCCCGTAATAGCCATTTGCAACCTTCCCTGCTGGCTTCCTCAGAAACTCAATGTTAGTCTCCCCCACCTGTGCACCCTCCCTCACACTGTGTTCATGCCACACTCGTGCATCCCCACACACCCTTGCACACCTTTCCCACATCCTCCCTGACCCTTGCAGCACCCTCCCCAACCTGTGCCGTGCCTCTCACATACCCCCTTGCATCCTCACACACCCTCTCCAACCTGTGCCTCTCATGCACCCCATCATACACTCTCCCTGACCCACGCCACACCCTTGCCAACCCATGCCTCTCGTGTATACCCTCACACCCTCCCCGACTCTCGCTGCACCTCCCCAGCACCTCCATGCACCACCTTGCTCCCCCCTCCACCTGGCAGGAGCCACTCTTATCCGTCTGCTGGCCTGAAACTTGCAATTTCCTGCTGGCTTCCCCACTAACTTTGGTTGTGGGAAGCTGGCAGGAAGTTGCCTCTCCTAACAACCATGGGATTTGGTTAATGACGGCAACTGGGGCGGCAGGGATGACCACATCACTTAACGACAGAAATTCCAGTTCCAATTGCCATCATAAATCGAGGACTACCTGTAACACTTAAAAAATGGGAGAACCAAAAAAGGGAAATGGGCAGAATATTGTGTTACCAATTAAATACTTAAAAAGGACTAACAACACAAAATTTAAAAAGTAAATGGACCAACTGCAATTTCTGATATTTCACTTAATAAAATCTAAGCCAGGCCTACACAGCATGCAGCCCACCAAGCAACCTTGTGTAGCCTGCCAGCATTTTTTGAAAACAAATCCACTACTGCCAAATGTCACTGCCGCCAGGATCTGTCACCACAGCCCAGTTTTTTGCAGTCACCTCTGCCCTGAAAGACATGCTACCAACTGTCTCTAATGCCTCTAGGTCTCACCAGCACCTCTAGCTCCAGCAATGCCCCTACACTATTAGCTGCTGAACTGGCACACCAGTTGTTCCTTTCTGGCCCACAACTATTTTTAAGATATCAATGTAGCCCTTTCTCCCCTCTGAGTTGTGCATGCCTGATCTAAGTCTAAACTCTCTAGTTAAAGAGAGATTAAGTTCAGGGAAACAAATGAAAGCTTCAGGGGTGTGTAGCTTATCCACACATGCCTTAACACAAAAAAGACTTCAAGAAAGTCAACTTGCATTTCCATCTATTGTAATGCTTATGCCCATTTGCCTATCCATCGTGTATAAAATTATTTAATAGTCAAACAAAAGGAAGCAACTTTAGATAAGCTTCAAAAATCATTTTTAAATATCCCAAAGAGGTCAAATTTCCTATGATTCTAACCAATATAATTCATGATGCATTGTATACTATTATGAATGAGCATCACTCAACATTGTCAGGCAATACATCTGCTTATGTAGTTACATCTTCAACAGTGCAATCTTTTACAACTTGTCCAGAACTAAACAACCCATAGTTCAGTGGGATTCATTATTTTTTCTTCTTTCTGTACTGTATTATGATTTTACACTATCATAAACAAGGATTTTAAAAAAATAAATGTAATGTATACAATTCTGTTTCAGGGATAAAATACCGCAAATAAACGCTAAGAATTCTGATGTTTGATACCTTTATGAAAAAGTTCTTCAGCCAATGCAGCTGTGATTCCAATGATTTCCTGCAAAGAGTAAGATATAAAAAGGTAAAATCAAAATATTATTTAAGTTTACATAGTTCATAACATTTGTGTAAAGGATTTTACATCTTAAGCAATAATGTAAGTAAAGCTATGAAATATGGCCGTAAATTAATAAAAATGAGGATGGAAAAGCATCCAAAAGTATTTCTAGGTATCAATATGGGGATATGCATCCTTCGAAACACATCCTATTGTTGCGTACGGCTTCCTATGTGCTGGGTGCAATTTGCACAGTGCACATTAAGCACGCTTAGCCACCCCAGGAAGCAAAGGTATGATTTACTTTTTGAAAATTATGCAAGAAGCAGAACACTTAGATGCTCATTCCACATTTAATGTCCATGTGGAAATATCCAGTGCTCTTGTGTAGACTTGGCCATTCTTCCTAACTACTCCAGATAATTCTTGAGAGATGTTGCCAGAAGACCCAATTCATATCATGCAGTCTGATCAAAGGTCTCTAAACCTGGCTCAGTCTGTAACACATACTCTCCTCTCCCTGAAAATGTTAAGAATGATCTACTAAATACTGTAGGCACAATTTATGATGTAGTAGTAGTAGTTCTACAAGAAATAACTTTTGTTGGCAAAAAAACAAGCAACAATTTGTATTTTTTTCTCATTTCAATTCTGACTATACAATGATATCACCATTAATAGTGTTGTCGTGAAATAAATCACTAGATATAGATCAGGAATAAAGAGGATGAATAACAGATGCCCCAACATTCAATTTCTATATGGAAAAAGAAGAACTGGACAAATTTCATTTTTATTTCTCCATGGAATATTTTCATATGATTCAATGTTTTGAGCTCAGTGCAGTATGAAAATCATTAAACAACAAGGCAATGAAAATCAGAAACAGCTTAGTCATGTAGCACTTTAAATAAAAGCATCCTTCCTTTACTAATTTACCTAGGTTCCATGATGGCTATATTTCACACTCAATAGACAGCATGAACTCAGACTGAACAGATGAAGAAAGGAAAATATTCCTGATTCCTCAATCTGACAGGCTTCTATTCTGCATGTGCAGAAGGTGCAACTCTTGCATGTTACTATAGATATCAAGTGGCCTGGCAGAGAAGACAGGCAACCCATGTTTTCTCTGCCTGCCAGCTCCTACTAAATAGGTGCCTACAACTCCAGACCCAGAGTCTGGAGACTGTAAGAGACTGGATGGGGAGAAACAGGCTGAAACTCACCCAAACAAGATGGAGTGGCTGTTAATCCAGAAACCAACTCTGGGACAGTTCTAATGTAAGTTCTTGATGGGGATGTGCTTCCCCAGAGGGAGCTGGTCCATAAAATGGGGGTTCTTTGGGACTCACAGCTCTTGCTGTGGAAGGAGTGGCAGGTGTAAGCCCTGGTCAGGAGCTTTGCCTAGTTATAGCAGTTCCTATAGTTCTAGTTTGTTTGTTTATACCCTCCCTCCCTTCCTGTGGGATGTACTGGCAACATTCATTCATGCATTTGTCACCTCCTGAATGGGCTATTCTAATATGTTTCTATACGACTTCCCCAGAAAATCACTGGGAAACTTCAACTGGTACAAAATGCAATTACCCATGTACTAATGGGAACACCTTGATACTATCACATAACAACGTACTTCAGGAGCTGCATTGGTTACTAGTTTGATCCTGGGTGAAATTCAAAGTGCTAGGAATAACTTAAGTCCTATGTGGGTTGGGTGATACTTGCCCCATGCAGAATCAACCCATCCAAGTTGTACCAACAGAGAAACTATGCTAAGAGTCCCCCACGCCCTATGAGGAGAGGACTTAATAGCAGACATTTTTACTAGAGCTTCCCTCCTGTGGAATTGGTTTCCTCCCAGAAATAAGATCAGGACTGTCATTGAAAATTAATGGAAATTTGGTTATTTAAGCAGGCATTTTGGGATTAAGATGTGGAAGAAGTATGTACCTAGATATATGTGGAAGCTATTGATATTATCATATTTTTATTGGAAAGTTGAGATAGATAGATAGATAGATAGATAGATAGATAGATAGATAGATAGATAGATTGATTCTATCTATCTATCTATCTATCTATCTATCTATCTATCTATCTATCTATCTTTGTAACCTGCTTGGATTAATTTTTAACTGAAACAGCTTAAAAGCATTTGTAAATAATAAATAAAGAAAATGGCAGGCCATCTGACTGCTCAACTAATTACATAAGTAATATCCAGTAAATAACAATGCTCTCAAGATTAAAAAAAATATAACAGTGAAGGATGCAAAATTTATTAAAATCTGGTAGAGAGAACTTACATATAAATGAAAATGTAAAAATTGTGATAGTACTTTGGGTGCTGCCAATGGAAATGTAGCAAGAAGAGTTTGTAGATATACTTCCAACTCTTTCTGTCTTTTTTCCACCAAGCTTTTGGAATTTTTGCCAATAATCTTTTTGGGAGGCAATATATTCTTGTCTATCTTCTTCTCTAAAACAAGCTATAAAAGACAAATAGTTAAGTTAGTCTGTGAACGAATCAATGCTTTAAGAATTATAACATTAAATAATAAGATATGGTTCACATAGAAATACAATCCATAATATATTAATAACAATTGGTAATAATAAATAAATTGATCTACTTATTCAAAAATAAAATTCTTGACTTCTAGTTTCTAATGGCAGCTACTTGAGATATAACCTCAATTTCTCTGTCAATTCTGAAGGCTATCTCCTAATTACTGCTCTGTAACTTAACTGGGTAAGCAGATAACATTATTAGCTTTCTCTTAAATAACATCTGTTTTCAAGTAAATTTTGGCTTCTAAAGTGCATCTTTAGAAATAGGACTTACCTCCCACTCTTCAGTCTTTTTTCCCTTAGCTAACTATGCAGAACAGAGAAGAGTTGAACCTGAAACAACCCCCCTGCTAAAAGAGTAACTGGCTAACTCAACTTCCTGATAAGAATGTGGCGGAGCTTAATGAGATAGTAACTGTCTCTTGTGAGACAATAATAAACCTTGAAAGCACTGAGAAGCAAGTACCAAAGATTTTAACAGGTGACTGAAAGGAAATTAAGAAGTTTAAGATGATAATGTACACCAATATATCTCTTGGTACCTTTCTTAAGTTTGCATATCTTATATTAATTCCGTATACTTTGTTCACTTCTGCATCCACATCTTCTTCATCCATTCCAAATGTTTTGTTAAAGCTTCAATTATCCTCTCTCTGGTATCTTCACCAAGTCCCTCTGGAACTGCTCTCAATCTTAAACAAAATCCTTTCTCACATAATTCCAGTAGTGCCACATTGTCTAAATCTTTTTCCATCTCTCGATTCATTATTTCTGTCTTATTTTCCAAAATCTCTATTTTCTCTTTAATTTGCTTAATTTCTCCACTTTATCTGTATTACAGATTCTTCAAATTTTTTATTTATCTTTTCCTTGCAAATCTTTCCTTCGTTCTCCCTTCAAGTGTAGCCAGATCTTTTTTGACTGATGCAGATGCAGTTGCTGATGCAGTTACAGATTCAGTCACTGATGCCATTACATTCTTCCCCAGTTCTTCAAACATCCTCTATAAAATCTCTGTTTCTGTAATTTGCTCTGTAAATGATCCTCTCCTCCACTCTGCAGTTTTTGTTGCTTTTCTGGTAGTGTCCGTTTTTCTTTTTTTAATTTATAATCCAAAAAAAAAAAAGTGAAAAATAAAAGAGCAGCTCTTGCCCCCCCCTTTGTATCCTTAAATCTTTAGTCCCTTTCAGCACTCCGTAGCTCTACAGTCATGTGGTCTTTCACAGCTTCCAATTTCCCTTATCCTTTTGTTTAATGAAGTCAGCCAATTGTCCTTCTTAACAAGTTTAAACAATCTTCTTTCCCATGGAGTTATGTATTATTTATTTAATTGATTCAAAATTACTTTAAAATAAATAATATTCCAAATTCAGCTGTCCCCTTAATCTGTTTTAAACTTTTGTAATTCAAACTCTTGGCAAATTTTTTGCTTTTGATTTTTTTAAAGTCCATATAATTATTTCTTTACTTTTAACTTTAATTTCGCCCACGGGTCAAAGGTACACTCACCAGGTGGTTTAAGTGCTCTGCTGCTTGGAAGATCTCTGTAACTTTAAAAATTTTTCATCTTCAATGTGTGCTAGAACGTGGAGTGAGTGAACCCAGTATCCTTAGGCAGGTTCTGCTTGAGGGTGCAAGCTTGATGTTTTCCCTTGGCTCCTGGCGCTCTACCTGCAAGTCACCTGCAGGGTCCCTCCAAATCCTGAAGGTTTCCTTGCAAGGAGCCGCCTTCCAAAGCACAAGTGGGCAAACTCACAGTTTCTCCTTATATGGAGAAGCTCTGCTGGTCCAGACTTGCCTCTTGGCCACCACTCTCCACTTTAGCGTCATCCCTGCTGTTCAAGAACATGTTAGTCCACCATTTTCTCCAGCCGGAAGCCTTAAGAGCCCTATTTTCTCATACCTTGGGGTTAGGAAGTATAGGCTAGGTGAAGCACCTTCTGGAAGATAGGTGACAAGCAGTTACCCAAAGCAGGAGATGGGGCCAAAGCGTGAAAACCCAGAGTATTTCTGAGACAGGAGGATTGAGACCTCCAGCTTTCTACCTGCATGTTCAGCACTCCACTACAACTTAATAAGCCAATATTCCTTTTCAGAAAGCATACAAGCATTTGATGCCAGAATGCTTTCTACAACTAAGTGTCTGAGTGACAAAAGTTAAGACGATTATTTTTAGAGATATGTTTTCAGGACAATTACCTTTTCATGCAGATCGTAGAAGTCACTATATCGATGTTTTACTATCCACTCATGGGTTCCAACAGTCACTTGAATGATATAAACCTAAAAGAAAAACAACTTTTATTCAACAAAACCTCCCAACTTGCCACTTATACACATTCACATAAAATATACAGTCAGGTCCAGAAGTATTGGGGCATCGACACAATTCTAACATCTTTGGCTCTATACACCACCACAATGGATTTGGAATGAAACAAACACAATGTGATTTTAACACATTACAAATCTCAGTTGATAAGCAGATAAAAGGCCCAGAGTTCATTTCAAGTGTGCTATTTGCATTTGGAATCTGTTGCTGTCAACTCTCAAGATGAGATCCAAAGAGCTGTCACTATCAGTGAAGCAAGCCATCATTAGGCTGAAGAAACAAAACAAACCCATCAGAGAGATAGCAAGAACATTAGGCGTGGCCAAAACAACTGTTTGGAACATTCTCAAAAAGAAGAAACGCACCGGTGAGCTCAGCAACACCAAAAGACCCGGGAGACAACGGAAAACAACTGTGGTGGATGACCGAAGGCAGATAAAAGGCCCAGAGTTCATTTCAAGTGTGCTATTTGCATTTGGAATCTGTTGCTGTCAACTCTCAAGATGAGATCCAAAGAGCTGTCACTATCAGTGAAGCAAGCCATCATTAGGCTGAAGAAACAAAACAAACCCATCAGAGAGATAGCAAGAACATTAGGCGTGGCCAAAACAACTGTTTGGAACATTCTCAAAAAGAAGAAACGCACCGGTGAGCTCAGCAACACCAAAAGACCCGGGAGACAACGGAAAACAACTGTGGTGGATGACCGAAGATTGTGGTGGTGTATAGAGCCAAAGATGTTAGAATTGTGTCGATGCCCCAATACTTCTGGACCTGACTGTATATTTTATGTGAATGCTTTGACACACATACACCTACCTCCTGGAGAGTGTTCTTGATCTGGCCAACTGTTGTGGAGGGTGTTTTCTTCACCAGGGAACGGAGTCTTCGGTCATCCACCACAGTTTTTCCATTGTCTCCCGGGTCTTTTGGTGTTGCTGAGCTCACCGGTGTGTTCCTTCTTTTTGAGAATGTTCCAAACAGTTGTTTTGGCCACGCCTAATGTTCTTGCTACCTCTCTGATGGGTTTGTTTTGTTTCTTCAGCCTAATGATGGCTTGCTTCACT